TGCTGCATGAATTCAAATTGTGACAGTCCTTCATTAACTTCAAAATTTGGTGACATAGAAATCCATGTATCCATGTATTGCAAAAAAGCAAACTAATAAATCACTCACCAGACCTATATGACCCCCGTTACAATGGTCATATATTGCATTGTGTGTTATAAATCTCTGGAAGTTCATCCCCATATAATCACCAACACCCGCACTTCCAGGTTGGATAGCTAGAGGGACTGATATATAATTTCCAATAAATTCCTCAAACGATATTTGAAGGGATTCGAATAGATAATCCTGGCTTTTTATGCCATAATGCTCAAAAAAACCACAACAGTAATGATGATTTAATTGTAGTATTTAATAAGCTAAGAGTAAGAATAGTAACAAACTCAATGCACTCACATGATAAGGTGCCTAGGAGGCCGGCACCAGCATGTATTGTCTGTATATTTTAGATCAAAAATAGCCAAAGTGCGTTCCAAGCCTCTTTCCCGGCCAGACGTGACGTCCCTGGAGCCCAGATATCACGGTATCACGCTTTCTTCTACAGCATAAGGGGAAGCAGTTGTGGATGGGGTTTTTGCCTCATTTATACCAACCCCCATCCACAAGTGTAAATGAGGCCTAAGTGCTGTATTCCTGCTGCTGTTATAAATGAAATAAATTGTCTGCAGGCAGGAGTGCTCTATTTCCTTCTGTACACATTAGCAGTTAGAATAGACAGATGGCATTGCCATGAGCTCTACATAATATGAGAGACTGCAAACAGTTAATATAAATCTGAAATAAATGTGTGTTTAATTAAGTTTATCAGCTATTTCAAGAAATCTATTTCCCGTAAGGCTGTATCACACACCACAGATTTCAAATTACAACCTTACCTGAGTTTTCAGAGCAAGACAGAACTATGATCATCACTTATTCTAAGTTTGATTATCAAGCTGAAAAATGATATCATAAAGCTTTTGCAGGATGGATTACAGAGTTTCATTATTTTTCATGTTGATTATTTATAGAAGATCTTATATTTTGTTGATGGTTTTCAAAGACTAGTGCAATAGTCTTAGTGCAGAATAAAATGAAATAAAATAACAAGAAGTGGGTGATCTTATGGTTCCTTGACCAGAATAATACTGGATTGAAAGCTGTCATTGTTCTTATTGGTTTTCTTCACTGTCAGGAAATCTGCTTGGCATTGTAGGAGGACATGCATTAAGTCGTGATGCCTCAGCCAACAGTAGATATGCGGGTAAATTTGGCAAAAGAAGTTTGGGAGAAAACTCTCTTTCCCAGCTTGCTAGGGTAAATATGGCACCAAACTCCAGATCTAAGTATTTATTTATATATTACAGGTACTTTAAAAGCACTGCCAATTTATTCTATCAAACGCTGGTGTAGAGCAAAACATGTCAGCTTGTCATCCTGCCCCTCTGCTGCTATTTTCTTGATGCTTTTACCCTGTTTGGCAATTTTCTAAATAAAGGTGATTTCTGTGGTAGTGCGGCTGTCGGGACTTCCTTTTTTCCAATTTCAATTACAATAAATACATGTCCTCTTTGGATTGGTGGATTCCCACCTTCATTTCATACCTGCTGATGTGGGATGGGAGTCAGGTTGATTCCAGAATCTTCTGAGAGTTTGAGATGAGGTGTCAGCTGTATGAAGGATACCTCTTCCATGTACAATGGAGCAAAGTCTTCAGATTGTCATTGTAGTGGATGAGGCATTTGAACTTTCAAAGAACTTAATGAGGCCCTACAGTGGACAGAAATGTTTTAACTACCGATTGAGCCAAATCGTGGAGTTTGCATTTGGACTCTGTACTGATGAGTGGCGTGTACTTCTTTACTCTTCACAACTGGTTGTGGAAAATGCAATAAAAGTGGTTCTGGTCTGCTGTGTGCTACACAATTTTCTTACTGATAAGGAGAGAGGCTCCTTTGAACCTGCACCCCCAAACCCTGCTCAGGATATTTTGTTTATGGATTCACACTTCACTTCTATGAAAGCAATTTTCTGATTTCTTCATTTCCCCAGAGGGTAAAGTGCCTTGACAAGATGAATATTTGTCATTAAATTCTTCCTGATAACAGTTGCCTTTGAATTTTTCCAACTGTCTTTGAGTTTACAAAACTAAAGAATATCTTTGTTTCCTTGGAACAAAGTTTTTTTTTTAATAATCTTTTGTGACAGCTGTGTCATTTTCACTCATGTGAGGTAAGATGTCCTTGGATGCCATACTGTGCTATTCACACAGGGTAATTTCATTGCTGGCCAGGATGACCAGAAACTTTGAGGGCAATAAATCTACACTATTAGAACAGCTATACAAAATCTCCTTACTGCACAGCCAACAAAGTGAATCTGTGACTAGTGACAATAATTCTGAAGTCTTCTTCCTTATATCTTACATCAGTTCCTCTTGATTGTAAATGTTACAAGGGATACATAGTCAGTGTCAACAGCACAATATGCAATCCTTAATAATACTGTACAGTGATGGATATGTGTTATCTTCACATGCACAGAGATGTTCCAGTTTAATATGGAACATAGGGTTAATATGCCTCAACAGCCCCCTCCCTAATAGGACCCTCTTCTGCCTCCTAGGCCCCATAGCAGCCTCATGGGTTGCTATGGCTATGATATTATTATAATAGTGGTGCAGTAAATCTTCAAAGTTTTGATCTTACTTTATAGCTTTATAGAGTAGGCAATATGTCAGGTGCAGCTGTGTACAGAAGGGGGAATAACCATACCCAGTGGCACCTTTACTATAAAATAATGATAGGAAATGTCATGTGAATGATATGTAAGGGGGACCGAAACTTTGTTTAGGAGGTCAGAGCAGGGGAGTTTGTTGAGGGAATCGAACTGCGTCAACTGGAGGCTGTCCTCCACAAATTGCCTCTTCATAATGTATGCAAAAAATCACACACAGATGATTGCAGATGATGTGTAGTTACCTCAATCGTTAACCTTTACTTTTTTTCCTAATATCTAAGCTCTTTGTTATCGTGTGATGTGATTATGCAATCAATCTGGTTGATATTCCATTCTCAGCAATCAGTCAGAAATGAAAATCAGTATGCTAGTAATCCGTAAAAGAAGACCACAGCTTTTCCAGTTCTTGTCTGCAGGCTTTAAAATGCGTAAAAAAATCAATGTGGAACAATGGTCTTACGCAGGTTACTCAAATACCAGGCAATAGGAATTAATCATTGCCAATGGCTAGAATAATCTTTGTGCATGTTTAATACCCCCATGGTTTTAAACTTTGTATCTGTAATAGTTCTCTCTCCCTCTCTCTCATATATATATATATATATATATATATATATATACATACACTCTGTATAGCCTTATCATGTGATCACTTTGATGTTAGAGAACTGCTGACGCAATCAACCAAGTCCAGCTATTAAAGTAATATTGCACTTGTAAAAAATACATGAGTAACTTTAAGTATAAAATGGTTACTATACATTGTTAAAATTATTAATGCGTTTTAGAAATGTTTCATTTTTTAGCTTACAATAAAAAATACCTGCAAGCAGCTCAAAGTGTCTTCACCATTAATATTACTTTATACACTATATTGCCAAAAGTATTGGGACCCCCTCCAAATCATTGGATTCAGGTGTTTCAATCACCTCCATGGCCACAGGTGTATAACATCAAGCACCTAGGCATGCAGACTGCTTCTACAAACATTTGTGAAAGAATGGGTCGCTCTCAGGAGCTCAGTGAATTCAAGTGTGGTACTGTGATAGGTTTCCACCTGTGCAATAAGTCCATCCGTGACATTTCCTTGTTACTAAATATTCCACAGTCAACTGTTAGAGGTATTTTAACAAAGCGGAAGCAACTGGGAACAACAGCAACTCAGCCATGAAGTAGTAAGGCACATAAAATGACAGAGCGGGGTCAGCATATCCTGAAGCACACAGTGCACAGAAGGTCGCCAACTGTCTGCAGAGTCAATAGCTAAAGACCTCCAAACTTCATGTGGCCTTCAGATGAGCACAAACAACCGTACGTAGAGAGCTTCATGAAATGGGTTTTTATGACCGAGCAGCTGCATCCAAGCCTTACATCACCAAATGCTATGCAAGGCATTGGATGCAGCGGTTTAAAGCACATTGCCAATGAACTCTACAGCAGTGGAGTAGTGTTCTCAGGCAAAACTAATCATGCTTCTCTGTTGGGAGATCCGATGAATGTGTCTGGTTTTGGCATTTGCCAGAAGAAAGGTACTTGACTAACTGCATTGTGCCAAGTGTACAATTTGGTGGAGGGGGAATATGGTGTGGGGTTGTTTTTCAGGGATTGGGCTTTCAGGTGTTCCAGTAAAAGGAACTCTTAAGGCATCAGCATAGCAAGACATTTTGGACAATTTCATGCTACCAAATTTGTGGGCAGGGCTGCTCTTAAAAAGCCTTCTGAGAGCCATAGGAGGAACTGCCGCTACAATTTTCACCGGCCCTAAACGCTTGTGTGAATGTAGCCATGTAGGATGCATTTCACCATCCTTTTTATTATCATCATGATAATTACACAATACAGGTACTATGGCTCAAAAGCACCTGTACTGTGTGATGATGATGATTATAACATTTGGCTGCTGACTGTACAATTCATCATGGGCAACAGCAGGGCATGGCATGGGGGAAAGGTGTGTGCGCACTTTGATCTCACTGTACCTATTGTGAGAATTTTCTGCGGATGATCCTGACTCCTGCAGATTGACCACTGCCTCTGCTCTGCCACTGTCTGCAGCACTGATGATAATGATGGTAGCTGCCAGCCTGAGCCTGCCACTGTTTTGCTGCTATTTCCCTAAGATTGAGCTGCCCCCCTCCTCAGCACTTACTTGCTGAAGGAGAAAAGTCTTTAATTTTGCCATTGATAAATGCAGCTCCAGCATGTGGTGCAAATCAGCCTGTGCACCAGATAAGAAAAAAAGTCCCTCTATTCTACATCTATCAGCACTTACTACAGGAGACGGTCAGAGACTGCAGACATACTACAGGAGACAGTCAGAGACTGCAGACACACTTCAGGAGATGGTCAGAGACTGCAGACATAGTACAGGAGATGGTCAGAGACTGCAGACACACTACAGAAGATGGTGAGAGACTGAAGACATAGTACAGGAGATGGTCAGAGACTGCAGACATAGTACAGGAGATGGTCAGAGACTGCAGACATACTACAAGAGATGGTCAGAGACTGCAGACATAGTACAAGAAATGGTCAGAGACTGAAGACATATACTACAGGAGATGGTCAAAGACTACAGACATACTACAGGAGATTGTCAGAGACTGCAGACATAGTACAGGAGACGGTCAGAGACTGCAGACGTAGTACAGGAAACCATCAGAGACTACAGACATAGTACAGGAGACGGTCAGAGACTGCAGACACACTACAGGAGACGGCCAGAGACTGCAAACAGACTATAGGAGATGGTCATAGACTGCAGACATACTACAGACCACTTCATATGGTCCCTGTAGACACCCCCCGTCCTGATCACATTCCCCCCCCCCTTCATCCATGGCACTACTCACCCGGCTTGGCTCTCCCCTCGTCCCTTCGGCACATGCCCTCCTCTCCGCTTCTCTCCCGCCCGGCCGGCTTTTCTCTCCTCTCATAACTCACTGTGGATGGCAGACATATCTGATGACACGTCTGCTGCAGCCGCTGCAGTGATCTTGTGACCTTATTTTGGCGCCTGGGTACATATGTACCCCCCCCTGCCCCCCCCCCAGCTACACCTCTGAGGAGATGATCAGTCACTGCAGATATTATTATTATTATTTATTATTATTATAATGCAGGATTTATATAGCATCAACAGTTTGACGCTTTACAATATAAAGGGAAACAATACAGATCAAAACAAGAGGGTTAGGAGGGCCCTGCTCCTTGGAGCTTACAATCCAAGAGTGCAGGAGACTGTCAGAGACTGCAGATATAGCACAGGAGACTGTCAGAGACTGCATTTGTGCAATGATGCCTGAACCCAGTTTAAAAGTGTATAATATTGCAGGGCTGCTTCACACTACTTAAAAACCAGCTGTGCTAGATCAAATCAGAAATCCTCATTACAAAGTACAAGTGACAGAAGGGCAGCAGCACTTCTAATCTTCCAGTGTTATAAAACAGTCAGCTGGTCAAGTGCAGTGCAGGACAGTAAACAGTTAATGAATCTGTGAAGCTGCCAGCCAGAACCAGCAGTAAATCCTCCAAAGCCAACATCAAAGAATGTGTCCAAAGATGTGTCAATGATCACTTGTAATGCTGGCTGATCTTATCAGTGTGTTCAGGTGCAGGCAGGGGCGGACTGACATCTCATTGGGCCCCCGGGCAATAGGGGATCATGGGGCCCCCTGTGTCCTTGCCCAAACTCAAAAAAGCCTATGAAAAAGGTACCAGGGGTATCTCATGGGGCCCCTACTGACCCCGGGCCCTCGGGCAGTGCCTGAGTTTCCAAATGGTCAGTCCGCCCCGGATCATGCCATACCATTAGGGAGGTGTATGATTCACCCCAAATGTATTCTGCAGCAGGACAATGACTCCAAACATACAGCTAATGTCATTAAGAACTATCCTCAGCATAAAGAAGAACTGGTCACTGGTGGCCTGCATTTTGTTTTGAAGCAGACTCAGGGGAGGGGCCAGGGGTGGGGTCAAGGGCAGGGTCGAAGGGGGCCCTGTCAAGTAGGCTATACAGTGCCCCATGATTTCTAACAGCGGCCCTGCCCACAAAGTTGGTAGCATGAAATTGTCCAAAAATGTCTTGCTAAGCTGACGCCTTAAGAGTTCCCTTCACTGGAACTAAGGAGCCAAGCCCAACCCCTGGAAAAACAGCCCCACACCATAATCAACCCTCCACCAAATTTTACACTTGGCACAATGCAGTCAAGTACCTTTCTTCTGGCAACCGCCAAAACCAGACATGTTCATCTGATTGCCAGACAAAGAAGCGTGATTTGTCACTCCAGAGAACACGTCTCCACTGCTCTAGAGTCCACTGGCGATGTGCTTTAAACAGTTGCATCAAATGCTTTGCATTGCACTTGGTGATGTTAGGCTTGGATGCAGCTGCTCGGCCATGGAAACCCATTCCTTGAAGCTCTCTACTCACTGTTGTGCTAATCTGAAGGCCACACAAAGTTTGAAGGTCTTTAGCTATTGAGTGTAAAAACAGTTGGCGACTCCTGCTCACTATGCGCTACAGCATGCGCTCACCCCGCTCTGTAATTTTATCTGCCTTGCTACTTCATGGCTGAGTTGCTGTTGTTCCCAGTTGCTTCCACTTTGTTACAATACCACTAACAGTTGACCGTGGAATATTTAGTAACAAGGAAATTTCACAGATGGACTTATTGCACAGATGACAACCTATCATGGTACCATGCTTGAATTCACTGAGCTCCCGAGAGCGACCTATTCTTTCACAAATGTTTGTAGAAACAGTCTGCATGCCAAGGTGCTTGATTTTATACACCTGTGGCCATGGAGGTGATTGAAACACCTGAATACAATGATTTGGAGGGCTGTCCCAATACGTTTGGCAATATAGTGTATAAAAATAATATTAATGGTGAAGACACTTTGAGCTGCTTGCAGGTATTTTTTATTATAAGCTAAAAAATAAAAAATGTCTAAAATGCATTAATCGTTTTAACAATGTATATTGAACATTTTAAATTTTAAGGTACGCATGTATTTTTACAAGTGTAATATTACTTTAATAGCTGGAGTTGGTCGATTGCTGCAGCAGTTATCTAACATCATAGTGATCACATGATAAGGCTATACAGTACACACACACACACATATATATATATATATATATATATATATATATATACAGTATATCTTTGAGAGATTGAGAGAGAACTATTACAGATACAAAGTTTACAAAGTTTAAAACCATGGGGGCATTAAACATGCACAAAGATTATTCTAGCCATTGGCAATGATTAATTCCTATTAATCTGATGACACCAATGATGGGCACAATTCCTCTCACTGACACCAAATATGGGGCATTGTTTACTCCAACTGATGCAGGAACATTTTCTACTTTCGATAGCCACAGTCTGGCCCCCCTAAAGTCGAAATGACAGTAAAATGGCCCTTTGTTTGGAAAGTTTGGAGACCTCCGGTTTAAGGTATGAAAGCTTAAATTGCACCCAGTCTGATTCTAGTGCAGTCAGTGTTTAAGATGGTCAATAGCTCCCCAACTAAAGTACGACACACTTTCAATATTTGGCCAAAGTCTGCACTGAAAAGGAAGTTTGTACTTCCCTTAACATAGAAGGAGGATCACAGAATATGCTGGGATTAAAATGTACAAAACCAAAACATGCATTCAAGAAAAAATTGCAAATCCAGTGAAAGGTTTCAAAGATCTGTCTGCTTATGCTTCCAGCAACAGAAAGAACTATGTCCCTGGTGAGGATTTAGCTAATCAGAGCATCAGTACCTTTTGGGAAGAAGAAGATCACAGCTTTGTGTCCTGCAGCTCCCCAGAAAAAGTAAAAAAAAACCCTGCACAATGCTTATCATAATAATTACATTGCAAAACGCAGTTTAATATTTGTTCTGCTATCTAAAGCTCTGCATGCATTAGCATTTAGAGAAAATTAAATCTAAACATTTTAATGTAATTGTGCCTGATCTGATAGCATCAGAAGCTCCGGTCGTCTCTATTACATTATTCATGCACCTTCCACAACAAACATACATTTTACAAATATTCCAAATTAGTAACCTCAATAGATAGAGAATGGGATGGAGATGGAAAATGAAAAATATCTCTATTGTCACATGAACTATAGCCAAAGTTCCACTTTTGCATTTTCATTTAGAAAAACAGAAACAAAAGAAATACTTTTGTTGTTACTGGACTTTTGGTAAGACATTGCATCAGGTTTTATATCTAATGATTTCGGTTAACACAAAGCAAGCAACCTCACTACTGTACTTTTAGCTTACACTGCCACCTCTTGGAATATACTGGCAAATATACAGTATAGAAGATTTGGTTTCTAGCTACATTTACACTTTTGCCTTTTTATTTGTAATTTTTAACTGTGTCTGATCTTTATCAATTACATTTTTAAGTTCAGCTACTTACTATTCATCAATTATTACACTCAGTTTTTAAAATGGACTTTACTTAAAATGTCACTTTATTGACAGCACCATACCCCAAATAGAAATAACTTACAAATAGTGCCAATAGTCCTGATTACAGTTACTTTTTCTGTCTATATGGTTGAGCCTTGACTTTGGCTTATGTAACAGGAGATGAGAGCAGCAATGTTGTATTCTTTTGTCGGAAATTACTACACTGTTCAAAAAAAATAAAGGAACACTTTAAAGTATAGCATCAAGTCAATTAAACTCCTGGGATATTGGTCTGGTCAGTTAAGTAGCAGAGTTAATCAGTTTCAGCTTCTTGTTAAATTAAATTAACAATAGGTGCACTAGATGGGAACAATGAGTCGACCCCCAAAACAGGAATGGTTTTACAGGTGGAGGCAACTGACATTTTATTCCCTACTCATCTTTTCTGACTATTGTTCACTAGTTTTGCATTTGGCTAGGGTCGGTGTCACTACTGGTAGCATGAGGCATTACCTGGACCCTACAGAGGTTGCACAGGCAGTCCAGTTCCTCTAGGGTGGCACATCAATACATGCCATTGCCAGAAGGTTTGTGGTGTCTCCCAGCACAGTCTCAAGAGCATGGAGGAGATTCCAGGAGAAAGGCAGTTACTGTAGGAGAGCTGGACAGGGGCACAGAAGGTCCTTAACCCATCAGCAGAACCAGTATCTGCTCCTTTGTGCAAAGAGGTACAGGATGAGCACTGCTAGAGCCCTACAAAATGACCTCCAGAAAACCACTCTCGCGTGAATGTCTCTGACCAAACAATCAGAAACAGACTTCATGAGGGTGGCCTGAGGGCACGACGTCCTCTAGTGGGCCCTGTGCTCACTGCCTGGCACCACAGAGCTCGATTGGCATTTGCCATTGAACACCAAAATTGGCAGGTTCGTCATTGGCATTCTGTGCTTTTCACAGATGAGAGCAGGTTCACCCTGAGCACATGCGACAGACCTGAAATGGTCTGGAGAAGCCGTGGAGAACATTATGCTGCCTGTAAGATCGTTCAACATGACCGTTTTGGTGTTGGGTCAGTGATGGTCTGGGGAGGCATATCCATGGAGGGATGCACAGACCTCTAGAGTCTAGACAATGGCACCCTGACTGCCATTAGGTATCTTGAAATCCTTGGGCCCATTGTCAAACCCTACGCTGGTGCAGTGGGTCCTGGGTTCCTCCAGGTGCATGACAATGCCAGCC